AACCAACATTAATTTCAGCAGAGGTGATTTGAACCTCAACCTTTTAATTGCAAGCCAAATGTTTTACCACTAGTCTACTATCACATTATATCTAAAATGCAAAAGGGGATTTCATCAACTATAAATGATGTTAATTAATTGCCCTTAATTAAAAATATGTTCAGAATATTTTTGACTAAGAAAAAATCACTATAAAAATTATTATGATAATTGAGTTATTCAAAGTTTGTAAGACATAAATTTTGAAAACTATTTCTTTATACTTACATGTCACTTCAAAAATTAATTTGTACAAGTTTACAACATGTAATCAACAAGTTTGCAACATAATGTTGCAACCTTGTAAATTATTGTCGATCAGGATGACTATGTTAATCAGAATGACTTCTTAAACATTTTTGCATCATAGAAGAAAACTGTTAGCTTAATCACTACTTTTTTTTAAAAAAGAACATAATACTGTACAGCTTCCTGGAAAAAGAACATTATACTGTCCAGCTTCCTGGAAAAATTATAGGCCTGATCAACATTATGCAGTAATTATATTAATTTTCTTATTTTATATGATTATAATCATATTTTTAAAATGGTGTGAGAATAATCATAAGCCTATTTGGTATGTCATTGACACTTCATAATGCTTTTATTTTTTAGATTATGGATAGATTTGTTTTGCAAATGGATTCCTAAGCCTAGATTGTTCTTAAGAATATCTATAATGAATTCGTGCCTAAGCTTAGATTGTTCTTAAGAATATCTAAAATGAATTTGTTAAGAACCATTACAGTGTCTTCACCACCAGTTTTTTTTTTTTTTTTTTTTTTTTTTAGATAATGTTTTATCACCTCAATTTTGCAACTGAATCAAAGTAACAGAATCTATAGTGTGTGTTTCTTCACATTTTAGCAAACTTGGTACTGATACCTATTTTGAACTCGTTGTTCATAGTCACTCCTGTTGATAGTGCATGTTATATGCAGTAGTGGTGTAGTGGTAGAGCGCTCGCTTCATAAACGAGTGGTTCCGAGTTTGATCCCCACCACGTCCCTGGTAGAACCGCGCTCAACTCGTTTCTCCGCGCAGCGGCCTTGTTTGTTAAGGTTTGTGTTTCGGAGTTTGGAGTTGAGAGAGGGTTATAGCCACAAAATAAATAGCCTCCTTGTCTGTAGTGGCTTTCTCGGCCTTGAGGAGGTGAATTAAAATAAAAAAAATGTTGTAAACTTGTAGCTGATACAAAACATTTAAAACTTGTAAAATAGACAGATGAGCATGAGTATCATTTTCACCAACAAATCTTGTCCTTGTGAAGTGCATACAAGTTTCCAACATGTTCTCTCATTGAATAAGCAAATACATTGCAAACTTCCATAATGCTAACATAAACTTCCATAATGCACATAACATAATGTTTTTTATGTTATAAAGTTGTATGCACTTAACAAGGACAAGTCCACAGTCTGGTAACCTGTAACATATATATTCTTTGCCTGACAACTTTCTATTTCTAGACTTCTATTTATTATTTTAATACATATTTCAATAATATTTTTTAAAATTAACTTGCTATATGGTTTAAAAAAATAATAAATTACCAACTTTCTACAAAAAAAAGATTGAACTCAAAATTATATTCTAAATACCATTTTGCATATAAATACAGTGTTTACAAGAGTATTTACAGTATAAAAGTTGCACTTGTTAATAATAAAGCATTTATATGAGTTAAAATCAGACTTATCAGTTGTAAAATAGGACATTTTTAAAAAAAACCAAATATACTTAGAGTTTTTTTGGATTTTTTTAAGGTATTTGGGTTGGTTTTTTTTTCCAACTCTGGTACCTGATCTTCTGCACCTAATCATCTGATACCCAACCTGCATTCTCTACATGATCAAACTACCTTAATTTTTCTTGATGCCACATATCGAATACACTCGCTATTTCTAATTACTGCTTAAGATTACTTCTTTTCTTATTTTTTTCATCAGTGATTTTTATTTAACATCAGTTCACCATACATCTATTTGACCACCATTTTATTTTTTCTTTCCAGACAATAGATATTATTAGTGCTGTTATGACTTTTAAATAATTCGATTGTCAACTAAATTGACTAATATATTTTCTAAAGTCTAAAAACAACTTTTTGAAAGTCGACTAAAAATTGAAGTTTGGGAATAATTTATTTTTTCAAAATAAATAGTAATAAAAATAATAAAGTAATTTATATTTGTTTTCTATTTTTTAATATATCATTTAAATAATAATGGAGCAAAACAATATGACTGAAGGACAACTGGAAAGTTTATTCCCAGACCCCAATGATTTAGAGTCATTGCAATCATATTTATAATGTGATTGTATAGATGACATATAGATTTTGGAGCTTTACAATTTAGATTTGTTCCAGGGCCCAGAGCCAGCTTGGAGCAGTATGAAAGTATTTATGAAAATCATAAGCATCACAAAAGAAAAAAAAATTTACTAAAATACATAATCAAAAGTTTAATTAGGTATAAAGAATCCTAACATGCTTGAATTAAATAAAACTTTAAGAGAGTAAACAAAAAACTAGATGATAATTATAATAGGTCATACTATTGTTATTAAATGAACAAAAAAAATTCAAGTTAAATTGAATGAAAAGAAGGATTTTATGATTTTTACTCAACTAAATTGACTTTTAGTCAATTAGTAGGAAGTCCATAGTCAATTAAATCAACTAATTGATTTTTTAAAGTCTACTAATTTTGACTTTTGACTAGTCAGCTTTAAGTTGAATTAGCTAAAGTCGATAAAAACATTAGATATTATCAACTTTTATAACCCATGTTTTACTGTAATGCATAAAAATGTGGCTTATAACTTTTATTTGACTATTAATGATGAACCCGTTGTTGTTAGTTGAGGAGATAATTATCTATACTTGGTCCAAGCACAATTTACTTTTGCCTTACTTCTTTAGCTCCAAAGAATTTCATATTTAAGATAACAACTTACTATTACACTGTAGTGTGGTGGAAGAGAGCTCCCTTTGTAAAAAAAAAGTTCCAAATTTAACCCCTACTACAACCCTGGTAATAACTCTTCTAAAATGTTTTTTTTTTATGGTAGCCTTGTATGTCAATGCTCGTGTTTCAGAGTGTAAGAGTTGCAAGAGCGCTGTAAAAGTGATTTAAAAAATGAGGAACATAGTTGCTCCTTAATGTAGTGGCTCCTTAATGTAGTGGCTCCTGCAGCTTTGAGGAGGCGAATACAGTAAAATTAATTAAAAAAACTATTTCTTTATTACATTCTCTGTATACAAAAATCATACTTTCTACACTCAAAATTAACAATAATAGGAGCATCTTGCATAAAATCTTTTGCGAACCCAACTTTATTCCTAAACACATCACATGATCACATTCGAGTGTTTTCTGCTTGCTCATTTTTGAGTTTAAAATGCACAACTATTGTTTTATTAATGTTTATCCAGAGCCCTTTTGCTTCCATACCATTTTTCACTACTGAAGTTTAGGATTATTTCTTCTCATGTCTCTGCAATCAAACATAAATCATCAACATAGAATAACTTCCATAGTAAACCAACACTGAACTCTTTAGAAAGAGCTTCTAAAAACTAAACTACATTTTATTTATAAAAAGATTACTTCTGAGTTTTTTTGTCAGTAATCTTCATAAAATCTTCAAAAATATCAAGTTTATTTCTGCATACTATCACCATGACTCCTTGTGACCTGCTAGACTTATTGTTCTTCCATATATTTAATCAAATAATTCTAAAGAGATTTTCTTTATATTTTTTGGTTATTTGTGTCTTAAAGCATTTGAAAATTTTATAAATATTTCTCCTTGAAGATTTTTTAGGCTGAACCACTTTCCACCATTAGCTCTATATAAATGTATGGCTGCAACAACAAGCTTGTCTCAAGCAAATCATTTCTTATTTTCATATTTATGATTTTGTTGTGAATTTTGAAAAAGATTTCTCACCATGCAATTTATTTCTTAATATGAGAAATATACTTTTTGTTTTAAGAAATATACTTCTTCGAACTTGTATATAACTTCTTAAGTTCTTCGAACTTGTAAATAACTTCTTTGAACTTCGACTTAGCTGTGTATAGCAAAAAACCCCAGATTGAAGATTCTTTTAAAAAAAAAAAAATCTTCTTAAAATCACAATCGCTTGTCCAAATTTGAATAAGATTTTAAATTAATACAATTTTTAGGTGAAATGAACATCATAGTTTAATAATATGATCTGTTTTGATTGTTTATTGGCAATTTTTCCTTATTTTTCTTAAATATAAGCTCTTTCTTAGTTGAAATTCTAATAATTTTTGTGAAAATTGATAAAAACATTGTATTTTGACAACTATATATAGTTAATATATGAACTGATTAGAACTAAGATCTATAGAGGGTTAAGTCACTTTTTCAAAAGATTTTAACTAAGTTCATTTAACGAGCAAAATTGATCAAAAGATTTCAAAATGGCATTCTTTAGATTCACTGTAAGGGGTAGTAAAAAGGTTTTGAAAAATATATTAAAAAAATAAGTTTTTTTTAAATACCTAAAGCTTGTGTTTGGACATAATACACATATAAAATCTTGCTAATTTCAAATAAAATAATACCAAAAATTTGTAAATTGCCTTAAATACAACTACTACGAGTGCGCATAACACACAAATTTTGCAAGTAAAACATCAAAGTGCACACTTTTAACTAACTTCTAACACCTAGTGTGATTTTATTTCAGAGTTCAAGAAATAGTGAAAAAAACTTATTGACTTCTAAGTGAGTTATCTTCACCACAAGTTAAAGTTCCTTACAAGCAAGACATATTTTTTTATAAGGCCAGTTTAATGCCAAGACCAGAATACTAATATTAATTATATGATATGATTCAAATATAACTATTTATATTTGAATCATATTTTATATAAATATTTTTAAAAATATCAAAAAAATTTTAAAAATTTTTTCCTTACTTTGAATCTACAAAATGGATTCTCTAATGTAAAATTAATTGGCTGCGCGTTTATAGAGTAGAATGCTTTACCATAGCCCCATAAAGCTTGAAGTTGATTGAGTTTAGCAATGACCGAATCTCTTTCATCTCCAAACAACGTTGGCATGGTCACAGCACTTGTCATTGCAGCTAATGGATTCTCAACAACAGCAGCTTGTTGTTGTTGCTGTGGTTGCTGTGTTTGTCCTACAATATAATAAACCTAATATATTAAAATTAAAAAATATCAACAAAAAAAATTCAAATTCAAATCTTTAAATTAAATAACTTTTTTTATTGTTAAATGTGACCTGAAGTCCATGTGGGATTTGTTCCAAAACCTATGATTAAAAAAACAAGTATTTAGTAGAACCAAATTTAAATGTCATTTAATCTTTTCTACTGTTATATTATTTTCTTTTAACACAGCAAAATATGCCTAAGTGAACTAAATCAACACAATTGTAAATTAAAGTCAACACATTATCTATTCATAGATCATCCTAGTCATATTTTAAAAATCTGGAAAATTGTTTGAATAAAATATCCGGAAAAAATCCGGAATTTGTTTTCCCATATTTTCTTTTTAATTTTGCTTTTAGCTAAGTTGTTTTTAATTTTTTTGACACTTTTTATAATTTTTCTATGAGTGATGAGTGAAAAAGCTTAAAAAACAAATATATTACAAAAATATATACCTCAACATTCATGTATTAAAAATGTTTTGGATATCCGGAAAAACTAAAAGTTAAAAAAAAAAAAAAGAATTCCGGAAAAGTCCGGAAAAAGATAATCCCTGTCTAGTACAAAGCAAATGTAGATCATTAGAAAGTCTTTATTTGAATTTGCTTCATACTAGTGTATAACAATATCCAATTGATGCTAACATAAACCTAAGCAGTAAACATAATGTTCAGACAAACTACATAAGCATTGCATTATTAATGTTTCAAAATAATTTATCATTATTAGATGACATTTTAACACTTTAAAAGAATATAGAAAATTAAAGTAAAAGTTATAATAACCTGTAAATAAACCACCACCACCTAATGTTCCAGTTCCACTTCCACCAAATAAACCACCACCACCTAGCATTCCAGTTCCACCTCCACCAAAAGCTATGAACAAAAAATACAACAAATACTGTAAAATAACAATTCATAGACATGCAATTATCCAAAAATTAAATTTCATGCATAACAGGGTTTAAAACATTTTTCTCTTTTTAAAATATTTAGCCCAGATGCTAAAATATTTAGCTCAGAAGGAAAATATTTAGCTCAGATTTTTTTTAAATATTTAGCTCAGAAGGAAATACTAAGCATATTTTTCCAGCCTCATTTTATTTTTCATTTTTATTTTTTCCATTGTTAAAAAGTGTAAAGTTGTTGGTTTAGTACAATTGAATATATGTGTCGACTGGAATTTAGCTTTGGAGAAACTTGAAAAAAATGAAAAACCTTAGTTAATAATAAACACAATGTAGTTTGAGCCTATTTTAGGTGTAACCCCACACATTCCCAAAATGCAAAACCTTCAACAAATTTGGCTTTAGTCTAATTTACCAGTATGCTTGTAAATGCCAATCCTATCTTAAGATTCAAAAGAAACTTTACCCCTATCAATATTTTTCAAAACTTACCAGGGTTTGGAAAATTATTAATAAATATTAAAGACTGATAAATACCAGGGTAGAATACAAAGACTGATAAATACCAAGGTTTGGAGAATTATTGATAAATATCAAAGATCCACGTATATACACTCGTGGTCGCCCGACAGTACCAGACGACCAAATTTTGTGAAGGGCGACTAAAAATATTCCTTTCATGCGATTAAGTCGCCTATTGATTTCTATCGGCAGTTATGGTTTTTTCCTTTTTTTAATTTATAATTTCTAAAATAATAAAACTTTATTATTGAAGTTACAGCGTCAATGTTTGTTTTTTGCATTTTCCATTATTGTTTAGAATGTTTAAACATATTTAATAAAATACTTCCTAAATAAAAACAAAAAAGTTTAAGAAAATTTTAAAAAATTACCAGATGGAGCACTGGTTGTAGTGGCTCCAAAACCTCCAAAACCTGATCCAAATCCTGAGAAACCAGTTGAAGATGCTGTAGTCTTGGCACCAAATCCAGAAAACAAAGAACTAGTTGTTGTTGCTGCAGTGGTTCCTCCAAAGTTAAAAGGTGTAACTGCAGTAGTATTTCCAAAACCTTCAGTTATTTTGAAACAAAAAAAATTGCATAAATCATGTGATAACAAATTATAAATAATAAAATCAATAATAGCAGTAAGAATTTTGGGGACTCCACCTCCCAATTTTCACCATGTAAGTTATTTTCAATTAAGCCTTTACTAAGACTAAAATTACTTAACTTGGGTAGGGAGGGGGTTAATGTGGGCTTTGATCAATGCATTATTTAGTACGCAATTCCAAAAGCGTAAAAGTACTTCTTATGCTAAATAACAAAATATATATTTTTGAAGAATACTTTATTAACTTCTTTTTAAATAACTTATTCAGCTATGCACAAGCTTTATTTTATTTTGTTTATTTTATTTTTGGCAACATTTTCTTAATCACAATTACCATACAATAATATATACTTTTTTTCACATGTTTTATCAGAAGTTAACTGCACTATTCTTAGCATAGTAAAATTTAGTAAGTAAAGTCGTAGCATCTAAGACTAAACTTTCTTATCTTTAAATTTTTAAATCTTTATTAATTAATATCAAAACAGTTGTAAAAATTTAAACAAAAAGTTTAAATTTTTACAACTGTGACATCACACTGAATCTTACAGCCTGCTGCGGCAAAGGTACATTGACTTGTATCGATGTACCTTTAAAATTGATGTGGGATGAGGTAAGCAAGACTAGTAGGCAAATGCTGATCTATGTACCCTATAGTATATTTTTTTATTTTTACATTTAAGTAATAAGTTTGAATTACTTCTTTCATAAAACTATGAAAGTTAGCAAGATTAGAAAAATTAAAAAACTTTATAATAGAAAAAAGTATAAAAAGAATCAAATATTTCAGGTGATTATGAGCATTTTTTAACTGCTTACAATTGGTAAATAGTAAAGTAAGTAACAAAAAAATAAATTTAAGATAATAAAAAGCTTAAATATTTACAAAATGGTAAATATGTTTAACATAATCTAATTATATGATAGGAAAAAAAACAAAAAACTTTGCCATAGATATTAGAAGAGCATCAATGCCTACTTTAAGCTGATGCGAACAAATACATGCTTATTCGTCAACTCTATATTTAAATTATACCTAACTTTACTTGAATATATATTGCATTTTAAATTATTTTTAACATAATTTTTAAACAGATATTAAATTCTAGGTTATAGAATCGGTAAATAATACAACTAAAAAAAAATATTTCATGTTGATGAAAATAGTCCACATGATTTTGTGATTAGATTCTGAAGTCATTGAAGAAATTGAAGACTTGAATTCCAATATATTAACATGCATTAAAGGGATTCCAAACTCCCGACACATGTTGTGTTCATATTAAAGATAATGTTAAAAAAAAAGGTTTGAACCAAGTTTTTTTGATTAAAAATAAATAATGAATGCATACCGAGAAAAACTAACGTTGTTGTTTTAGCCGAAGCTCGCCTTCTTCATTTTTTTCAATAATTTGGAGTCTTTAAATTATACGTCGCGATCTACAGACTTTGGCGATTCCGTTGAAGCGCGTTTAATTCATAAAAGTTTTATTATTTGACGTCACAGTAGACTTTTTTTTTTTTTTTTTTTTTTTTTTTTTTAATTTTAATTCACCTCCTTAAGGCCGAGAAGGCCACTACAGACGAGGAGGCTACTTATTTGTGGTTATAACCCTCTCTCAACTCTATAACTCCGAAACACGAACCTTGACGAGCAAGGCCGCTGCGCGGAGAGACGAGTTGAGCGCGGTACTACCAGGGACGTGGTGGGGATCGAACACGGAACCACTCGTTTATGAAGCGAGCGCTCTACCACTACACCACTACCGCATATGAAAAAAATGGACAAAAATTTTAACAAATGAAACTCTGGAAATATTTTTATTCGAACTTTTTTTGATTATTTGTTAAGTTTTTTTTTTTTTTTTCAATTTTTAATATTTAAAAAGATATTAAAAACCTCAAATATTTTATGCTGGTTCGCTATAATTTGTTATTGCGCCATATATTTAATGTTTATAAATTATGAATATTTATTATCTCAATCAAGACTCTGGATAAAAAATCGTTTTACATTAATTACCCTTATAAAATTAGTTAAAGCATTTTTATTTGGTTTGATAATATTTTGTCTCAAATTGCTTTGCATGAAGATCGGGAAGTCAAGCGAAAAAAATTAGTTTGAATAATCACTTTGAAATATATTTAAAACAATTTATTTTAATGATGGGGGTTTAAACGTTTTTTATAACAAATGTAGGTAAAAAATAAATAATTAAATTAAAAGTTCAACATTAAACGGATCAAAAACTCCCAACACATGTTGTGTTCATATTAAAGATTATGTTAAAAAAAAAAGGTTTAAGCCAATTTTTTTTGATTAAAAATAAATAATGAATGCATATCGAGAAAAACTAATGTTGTTGTTTTAGCCGAAGCTCGCCTTCTCCATTTTTTTAAATAATTCAGAGTCTTTAAATTGTAGGTCGCAGTCTACAGACTTTGGCGATTCCTTTGAAGCGCATTTAATTCATAAAAGTTTTAGCATTTGACGTCACAGTAGATTTTTAACAAAAGAAAAGTGTAATTAAACAAAGCTGGGTTTTTCTATTTTAATTAAGAAAAAAAATTTTTAACACAGCAAAACAACTTTTACAACAAATTTTTGTAAAAATCAAAAATAAAAAAGCTTTTTATTTCATAAGAGGAACTTTTTTTTTACCAATATCTTAATAACTTTTAGATTTATATATCTTACTTATATTTCTTTTGTTTTTAAATTAAAACAAAAGCTTTACTTACGAATCTTATGATTTTCATATGAGTGTTTTACATTATATAGAACGTTATGTATACGGTCTCTCGTTTTTGTGCAAGAGAGCGCAGTATTATATATTCTGAATCTTACTTATTTTTATTTAAACAATGGGAACTTTTTTCTAACTTCTCTGGTTATTTTTACGCTATGATATTTTTTGTTTTCCCGTCGAAAAAAAGTATTAACAATTAATTTGATAAACTGACAGTATTAATTAGAGATATTTGATGAATTGTTAACTTTTTTTATTATAAAATTTTTTTGATTACGCTGATTTATTTTAAATTGCTAAATTTGCTAAGTTGGATACGGATAAAAAGGAGATATCATTTTATTTTAAATTTAATTTTTGATAATGAAACTTATAAAATGTCGGCAACTCCATAGCAATTAGAACCTGTTAAGGTTATGAAAAAAAAGTACAAGAATACACTAAACAATACAGTTGACAGTAGTATCAGATATGAAAATTCGTGAAAGGATATGTGAGATCCTGGTTTTGCATTAAAAGTACAATTAATATCGGGTGGACACGGAAAAATCCGATCATCTTTAAATTGAGATTTCTCCAAAACCACAAATGCTTTTTATTTAATTTTTTTTTTATTAAACCTTACTTCCTTAACTTTAAACTTACTTAACTTAAATGGTGTTGATAAATTTTTGTTTACAAATTAATGATTTGCAAAATGTTTTGGAAACAAGTTGAGGTGCGTAAAAATGTTGTGAATTTTAATTAATATTGTGAATTTTAATTAATATCGGGTGGACACGGAAAAATCCGATCATCTTTAAATTGAGATTTCTCCAAAACCACAAATGCTTTTTATTTAATTTTTTTTTTTATTAAACCTTACTTCCTTAACTTTAAACTTACTTAACTTAAATGGTGTTGATAAATTTTTGTTTACAAATTAATGATTTGCAAAATGTTTTGGAAACAAGTTGAGGTGCGTAAAAATGTTGTGAATTTTAATTAATATTGTGAATTTTAATTAATATCGGGTGGACACGGAAAAATCCGATCATCTTTAAATTGAGATTTCTCCAAAACCACAAATGCTTTTTATTTAATTTTTTTTTAATTAAACCTTACTTCCTTAACTTTAAACTTACTTAACTTAAATGGTGTTGATAAATTTTTGTTTACAAATTAATGATTTGCAAAATGTTTTGGAAACAAGTTGAGGTGCATAAAAATGTTGTGAATTTTTTTTGCAAAAATCCATCAACTTCCTATCGCTTGATTGCTAAACACACAAATGTCCCAAAATCTACAGTCATAGATATTATAATCAAGTTCAAGACTACTCAAAGCTTCGAAAGAAAACTTGGAAGTGGAAGAAAAAAAACTTTCTATGAATCCAAAAAGGTAAAGTCAATTTTACGTTCAATAGCAAGAAATCCAAACCAGTCACAGCGAGATCTAGCAAGAAAATTCAAGACTTCTCGTTCTTATATCAAAAAAGTACTTAAAAATGCTGGAATTAAAGCATTTCATAAAAAAAATACACCTAAGAGAAGCTTAAATTGTGAAATTAAAGGAACTCGACGCGCAAAGAAGTTGGTTAAAATAATGGCGAATAAAAATATGACATAATTGAAGACGACGAAACATTGTAAGGCAGATTTTTCACAACTTCCTGGTCAACAGTTTTACTATGAAAACAAAGATAAACCTGTCAATGATCAATTTAAATATATTCGACGAGAAAAATTTGCATCCAAGTTCCTTGTGTGGCAAGCAATTTGTAGCTGTGGTATGCAGTCCTCTTGTTTTGTCACTAAAAAGACCTTGACTGCAAATCTCTACATCAAAGAATGCCTCCAAAAAAGACTTTTGCCTTTTATAAAAAAACACAAATACCGATGTCTCTTTTGGCCCATTCTTGCTGCCTCTCACTATTCTAAAAAAGTTTTACAGTGGTGCAAAGATAATAATGTGAAAATTGTTCCTAAAGATGCGAATCCTCCAAATCATCCTGAAGAGCGCAAGATTGAAGATTTTTTGGCAATAGTTAAAGGAGTTCTTCATAAGACAGGTGGACTAACAAATAATAAAAAGGACTTCCAAAAAAAGTGGATTAATGCCACTAATATGGTGAAAAAAGAAAAAATCTGTAAAATGATGGCATCAACCCGCTATAAAGTTCAATTTCTTGCCAAGCAACCCATCAAGCCCCTTAAAATTAAGTTGAA